TGTGTGTGTGTTTTATTATATGTTCTTTATTATATATTTACTATATAGGTCTTAATCTATATCAAATTTATATCACTTGTTTGAAATAATAAACGTTTTTTTAAATAATGTTTTTTTTTGTATATATAACCATTATATGTTTTATCATTATTTTATTTCAATACTTATTTTATATAGATCATCCGAAATTTGTGATTGCTGCGTTTAATCGAGCATTTTTTCAATCTATGCCACGTGATAAATATTCTAACAAGGAAGTAATATGTAAAAAGAAACCTGAACCTGACAATAAAATGAGTATAGAAAATCCGGAAGTTTGCAGGTAAATATGTTTAAAAATAATTTCATTTTTTATGATAATCAAGAAAAGTATATCAACGTTGCTATTACACGTCACATAATATGTGTGACACGATAATTTACATTAGAGAATACAGTAGAGAGAACCATATTGTGCGGCTCCAGGGGAAGTATTTCTTGAAAATTTCTTCTCTAGCTGCTCTTATTACTGCGCGCTGTTTTCCTTCGATCTCGGGCCGCTGACGGAAACCAAAAGAAGAAGAACGGCGTGCGATAGTAGAAGCAATCAAAGGAAAAATTCCCGAAAAATACTTTCCCTGGAGCCGCACGATATGGTGCTCCCTACTGTACTGTATAATAATTCAATTTGCTTATTTACTATTTTGAATAAATAGTACATATATGTACAATACTACATTTTGAATAAATAATATATGTGTGCATAAATGAAATAATATANTCTAATATTTATTTAAAGATGTTTTTAAAATCAGAAAATATGATANGTTATTTTTTGACTACATAATTATAGAGAATATAATATAGTAAATAGATAACTCAAAGATTAATAAAAGTTAAACCAAGTATTTCAGATACTAAATTGTAATTTCTATATGGAATTATAGAAGTGGATGCCGAAAGTTTGTTTGCAGAAGCTGTATCTATTACTTGTAGCAGGTATATTGTCTTATATATGTCTCATACACTGCATGAGAGGTTTTCACTGCACAATTAATTAACTTATAAATATATAACTTTGTGAATGTATAAACATATGTATACAACTTCAAAAACAATTTATATACTCTCTCTACTACTATTTATATACTATTTACAAAACAATGGAAGTTAAAATGAAAGTTAAAACATGANTGGAAAATAAATTATTTACTCAATAATTTTTACTATGAACAATATATAACTTCCAAACAAAAAATTTTAGTAAATTTACAATATACAAAATATACAAAAATTATACCAAATATTTATAATTTTTAAATATAAAATATTTTATTTTTATGTTTAAGCTAGTTTTTAAATAAAATGATTACATTTAATTATAAAAATAATTGATAAAAATGGTTATATTTAATTATAAATTATAATATACAATATATATATAAAAAGTTTTAAGATGTAAAATCATTTCTTACAATTGTTTCTACAAACATAATAGTATCTTTTTTTAAAGAAGAAGTTTTTTNTGGAATATAAAAAAATAGATATTTTAATATTGCAACCAAAAATACAGTGTATAAAAAAAAGGAAAAACACTTTTGTATAAAACTAAAGTTTATAAAAAAAGAAAAACACTTTAGTTTTGTACAAAACTAAAAACTTTAAGAACATAATGTGTTTATTTAAATTGCAATTTGCTTTTTGTTGATTAATTGCGTTTTGGTTTAATTGATAGACAAATCTCTATATTGTCAGTACGTAAACTATTGTAGATTTTATATCTATATTATTTTGATCTGCATCTGCGACTATCTCTTGACATTATGTAAAATAAACATACATTTCTACGTTATATATTTTATATAAAATTATATTTTTTGTGTGTATTTTATATATTTGCTTGCGATTTAATACAACTTTCTTTACTTGCTAAGAAAATGATATCTCGCTGGTTTTTGTTTCAATCTTTTTTTGGTGTATTTACTTTGCTTTACATTTGCATTTATTTAATTGTTTATTATCCGTGAAATATGTAAATGACACGTTTTATAATTAATTATAGATATCACTCACA